CTTCCAGAATTGATCTTGGAAATTCCTGGCAGAAAACAGACTCTATGTCTGTGTCCATAGACAAACAGTGAGAGCACCGACACTACCAGTCCGCCCCAGCTCGAGCCGGCCCCGGCTCCTCGTCCTCACCGCCGCCGACAGGCAGGTATCATGTCTCGGCTGCTGAGCTGGCTGCTGAGCTGGCAGTGGCCGGCGGCGTCCAGCAATATAGCAATATAGCTGCGAGACAGTTTGTGTTGCGACGGCTAGTGCGCCGCTGCAGTTGTATTTTTCCGCCATAGATACCTTTAGCATAGCTTCCAAGCAATATGGCGGACGTTAAGTTTCGATTCTGGGAGTGAGTTCCCGCCCACTGATCTGTGATTGGTCTGTAGCTTCAGTGGTCGAAAATATGAGGAACTAGCATTGTAGTTTCACACCGCTAACCAACAGCTTCCAGTGACGTAAAAATTGCCTTTTCAGACTTAGAAATACAAAGATTTCCCATGTCTGGGGAAAATGAGGGCGGGATGCAAGACCTTTCAAAAATACTACCAGGTTTCTAATGATAAAAAGCTTAATGCAAATGGGTGAAGTATCCCTTTAACTCAATGGGCGGGATTACACTTTTCTGTAATGATTCGGGAGGGATAACCACTAAAATCACAAGCGATTGAATAGGGGGGAGAAAAAAATAACCAAAATAGTTACAATCTAAATAAATAGGCTTCCTTTACTAATTAGCCCTGAGAGAAGGTGAAAATAAACCAACACTACCAAGCAGCTGATAAAAAACTAGATTAAAGGAAAGAACCAAGAAGCTCACTAGAGCTGAGACACAAAGGCCACCAGGCCATGTTTATAAAGAAACCAAGAAGGCTGGGTCAAACATTCAACCTACACTGATAGAGCTGCCGGAAATATTTTACAAAGCGATTGGTGCTCTATGAAGAATCACAGAGTCAACCACTCAGTACCCCTGAAGGTGAGATGATGAGTCAGCACAGACCGCTGCAACTCAAGTTTAACACACCTGGAACAAATCAGGACCAATCAGTCACTCACACACAGCCACTGCACAGAGATGATTACCTGCCCACAGTGATCTCCCTCACACACCCCCTCGGACTCCGGATTTTCAATCAAGACCGGTCTAGACCACCGCTGATTGGCCATTTTTCCACGTCATTACTGTGATTAGAAGAAAAAACGCACCTTTCTTAAAGAATTAATAACTTTAAGTCATTTGTAGTTTGATTTTTATGATTTTTTATGGCCACAACCTTCCAGATGTCCCTGCACAGAAGATGGTCTTGACTCGGTCTCACCCTGCCTTGGTCTCAATCCCTAAATACCATCGTCTTGGTCTTGGACTCGGAGCACTCTGGTCTCAGGTGTGTCGTGGTCTTGGTTAGTGTGGTCTTGACTACAACACGACCTAATAGTTGTTAGGTCGTGTGTCTTAATTAATTAATTGGGTGGCTGTGGCTCAGTTGGTAGAGTTGTTGCCTCTCAACCAGAAGGTCAGAATTGTGTCTCTGCAGAGTTTGGATGTAAATATTGTAGGAGTTAAGACTTTGCACAAAGAGAGTGAAGTCAGACTCCCCCTGGGTTTGTTGTTTTCAGCTCTGTGTTGACAGCGACAGGACAGGGGAAGGATTCAAAATGAATGAAAATCTGCCCTGAACAAGGAAGATCCTTGTGAGAAAGTTACAGAATATATAATTAGAATAAAATAATAACAATCATTAAGGACTGGAGGAGCCATACAGGGCCACTAACAAGGCTGATTTGTTTATTTTCTTTACTGTCACTGCTTTATTAAGAGATTCCTCTCTGGTAGTGACATTTCATTTTCATCTCCAACAGGTGGAAGTCTCAAGGGACTTTGGGTTGGCTTTTACCGACTGTCACTTCCGGTTTACAGTGGGATTTAAAAATGTCGGTTGGTTCAGGCTCAGGTTACTTTATTGTTGGTGGTACTGGACGTGTGTTCGACCAGTCAACATACGCTGACATATGGACCAATCCCAGCGCACTGACGCCACTCAAAGTCCCTCTCATACTGCGAGTACCTGCTCTGAAGCAGGAGCTGAAAAGGTTCCTTTAACGGGTTTCTAGGATGTACGGGTTCCTGCAGTTGGAAAACGCCTTATTGGACACTCCAGCTTTAGCCCTGGCTAACTATAGAGGTTAAAGCTAAGCTATGTTGGTCTAAATAATGATCTTACCTGAAGATTCAATCAAATACATTTCCCTTCTGGTCTTTTTTTTCAAGAAAAACAAAGAACTCAGGAGCTCAAATAATCCTCTGACTTGCTGACATGTTTTTTTCTGTGCAGCTACAGATTACCTGATGACAGCCCTGATGCTCCAGTTAAAAGTGAAAGTGGTTTTAAAAAGTAAAAAAATAAATAAATCTGGAGATATTCAGTACACCTCCCAATTATTTGACTGCTCATTATTTCAACATGCAATTTTCCGGCTGATTCTGGCCGAACGTTGGAGTCACACAACTGATTACAAACTGAGTGTCTGCCTGATTGTGCCTCGTTAGTTATGCAGTGTGCAGTGCAGCTGTTTCTAAAGGGGATTTTTGCTCCACTCCATGACTGCATGTGGCTGTTAGCGCCGCTGTTTGTGAATTACATGTTTCTGCACTGAGGCTGATTTGCATAGAAAGGGACATTCCCCCCCCCCAATGAGCATAATGGATCCTTTAAATACACACAACCTGCAGCGACGCACAGAGAAGCTGGTGTGTAAGTACACTCAACAGGTATTGTAGAAATAATGTTCACCATGAATGGGATCCCATATCTTCAGGATGTGACTTTAAAGATCTGGAAATGTTTTCTTTGTGTCTTCATGGTTTTTGTTCTCATGAACACTGAGGTTTTTATAATCACTGCAAGAGCATCAGGATGGAAAACAGTCTGAGCGGAGGTATTACACAGTCCCATCTGCAGTGAGAGAACCCCCTTGGATTGCATTTTCCGCATACATTCCTTTCCAGTGTATACTTAGGTGTGCATGTCACAGATTATCCCACACACTGAACAGCTGTGGGTGGACAGCGAGCGAACTGCATCAGATTGACTTCACATCCGTAAAACTGCAATCCAAGATGAGCTGCCATCTTATCCCCCGAAACTGTTTGGCTGTTTGCAGGGGGGATCATATCACAACAATACGTCAGAGGATTTCTCTCAGCCGATACTGAAAAGCATGCCGCAGCCTTTTTTTTTTAAATCTCAAAACGTAGGCATGTAGAGACAAAGGTCATAGTTTATCAAATGATACACTTTCAGCCATCATGTTGGCAACTCCATGACACCTTTGGCGTTTTTTCCCTCCAGTATATAATGTGAAGACTGACATTTGCAAGGATAAGCCATTCTAAAAAAGCCCCACACAAGTCTCTCTGGTTTTATATTCGTACCTTATCGTAACCTTTTGCAGGCAGCTGTGTGCATCATCCTGTTCACATTGATCAAACAAAAAAAAACACTGGTCGAGAACAACGCACAGGAAGGTTTTGATTATTTATCTCATCATGTTGTAGATTGTTTACATGTGATGATACGTTGTGTGAATTGATAAAGCTGACAACATGAAGGTACTTAATGGAGGATGCTTTTTGCGTAACCATTAAAATTGATAGAAGAAAATGAGACAAGATCCGGTGTCCAGTGCTCAGTTACTCCTCTCTAATTAAATGGTAAATGGACTTGAGCTTATATAGCATTTTTCTAGTCTTCCAGTTACTCAAAGCACTTTTACACCACATGTCATACCCACCCATTCACACACTGATGTACCATCATGATGTATGTACTATGTAGTATCATCCATCAGAGGTAACTAATGCCATTCAAACACCCCCACTGAAGCAGTGGGAGCAATTCAGGGTTGAGTGTCTTGCCCAAGGACACACTGGACATATTGCCCAGCTGGGGATTGAACCCTTGACCTTCTGGTTGAGAGGCAACAACTCTACCAACTGAGCCACAGCCACCCAATAGATTAATTAACCTCTGAATGGATCATGTGCACACCTCAGATTGTGTCTACCAGGATGGAAACTTCTGCAGTCACCAGAACACAGTATGTTTAAATTCAATGACAGGGTGCAGCCCTACAGTGAACCAGTAGACCACTAGGGATAGGGATCAACAATGGGGTCCAGAAGAACCCATTTAAACCATTTAGCTAGTCCCGTCTTGTTAATCAAAACACTGCTGCCTAAACATACATCGATTGTCTAATAAAGTTTTGGAATAAAACTGAACTGCCAACTCTGTTGTTTTTAAATGTGCTCTATAAATAAAGGTGGATTGGATTGGAACAAGCACATCAGCGATGTTGACCAAATTATCAAAATGCAGCACCTTCGACCGTCTGCAGGTTGAAAACTCTAAATCAACAGACGGACGGACGGACGGTCAAGCTTCTCCACTCAAGGCAGCCGTTGAAAACATACCTATATTTTGTGTCATGTTCTGTTAATCAAACATAGTAACCTAAAAAAGCTTGAAAGCAGTGTGATCAAAGCTAGCTAGCTAACTGAACAAGGGGACAACGGGTTACATTATGATTTACTTCTCATACTTTATTAATCCCACGAGGGGAAAATACTTTAACATTATTGATATTGAGACAAGCTGTACACACATAGTCTGAAATACATACACATGGGCTGAAATACACACACATGGGCTGAAGTACACACACATGGGCTGAAATACACACACATGCACAAACAGGATTCTATGGAATAATAAAAATATATCAGAGTGACGGGGCTGCACATGAAAGAGCCTGAGCAGTTGGGGGTTTGCTGCCTTGCTCAAGAGCACCTCAGCAGTGCTCAGGAAGTAAACTGGAACCTCTCCAGCTACCAGACCAACTTCCGCACTTGGGTCCGCACCGGGACCTAAACTGGCGACCCTCCCAAAACACTTCCCAAACCAAGTCCCTGCAGACTGAGCTACTACCGCCCAAAGGTACTGTTCCCATACCGGGAGTCGAACACGGGCTGTCCGAGAGAAAACCAGGAATCCTTACATCTAGTTCATACAGGAATGATGTGTTCAGTGTCAGTAATGCGACTATCAGGCTAAGGTCATTAAATCGTCATCATGCTGTTTTTTTAAATGTAACATCAAGAAAAAGAAAATGTAAGTTTATTCAAAAAACTTGAAAAAACAAAAGTTTTGAAAAGAAATGTTTTTGTTTTCCGAGCAAACAGATATAGGGCACCACCGTAATGAGTTCTAAATACTCTCAAAGTCAATGGGTATTTTGAATGGGTTTGTGGTTAGATGCCTGAAATAAGGTCTGTGGTTAATACAAGCTTAAGAGATTTTGTTTTTTTGTTATATGACATAAACCACGTTAGGTAATACCCCTGCTTGTGTATGTTGAAGTTTTTACTCGTCCTTAAAAAGGCAGTTGCTAAAAAGGAGCTAAATGAGAATACAGTGGTTGTCGGGGACATTAAACGTCATCACGCCAGACACAATGTTCGGGAACTCTCCCACTAGTCCGCCTTACAGCCTCTAGTTGTGTTTTTCAGTGCTCTTGTAGATTTATCAATTTGTAGGCAAATATTAGGTTAATAAACAATGCATTAAGCTACGGTTTCGCTAGCTTGTCAAAATCGCTATTATGTGGCCGATAATTTTATCAGAGATCGTCTGAAGCATAACGGTAGTGACGTCAAAATCATCCGACCTTGGTGTAGTTCACTGTAGCACAGTGGTTAGTGTGCGCACCCCGTTTTAGGCCGTATGGAGGCTATAGTCCTGAAAGCAGGCGGCCCGGGTTTGAATCCAGCCTGTGGCTCCTTTTCTGCATGTCATTCCCTATTCTCTCTCCCTGATTTCCAGCTCTGTCCACTGTCCTATCTCTCCATTAAAGGCACAGAAAGCCCCCCAAAAAATCTCATTCTGAATTCTCAATAGACCCCATGACGATGCTACTTCCAGGTTGGCCTACAAAAATACGTCTCTCTTTCTTCTCTATACCAGCTACATTAAAAACATATTGTTGTCTTGTCTCTATAGTGTTAATGATAAAGACTCGGATCGTTGAGGGGTAACAATAGTGGTAACAATATCAATACAAATGTGAGATCCCGATCCTTACAGACGACCAAAACACATCAGAAAAAAAGCCATCCCCCTTGACACTCTCAGATCAGTCGGCTGGGAAACAAAAGACGTGAACAAGTAGGCTCAGAAAAGGTCTCTGATCGAGTAACGACTCCATTTTGAAACCTGCACCAACATGCCAAACACCAGGCCAGAGAAAGAAAGACTGGGCTTCAAAATATATTTTAAGAAACAATCAGGATTCTTTACCTTTCCAACGTACTGAGGTTCAGGTCCGATGTGTTCCTCCAGAACAAAGAACTGGTTCCAGATCCAGCCTCTCCTGGGCCGCTGGGGGGGATCCTTGTCTGTCTCCACTGACTTGGTCTGGTTCCTTTGTGACTTCGAGTTTTGGTTTGTGATCTTGGCGTTGGTTTGTGACGGAGATCTGAGTCTGGCATGAGATTTAGGTCTTGATAGTGATGCTGGACTGGGTTTTTTGGCAGTACTGGATCGAACAGAACCTGAAGAGTTGGACTTATGGTTAAGACTGGATAGTGTAGTTAATTTAGTTACAGGTCCTGACTCAGATTCAATGCTAGTTCTGGTTCCTACAGGAGACTTTGGGAGTGTCCTAGGCTTTTGGCTTGGCTGGGATCTGATCCGTGGTTTCCATTCTGCAGACTGCTTTGGGTTATTAGAGATATTTCTCACCGACCCTTGCTGTGAAATAAAGTTCAGTTTGGGCTCAATGTGTGGCTTGAGCTCTGTGTCTGAGTTTGACGAGGTCTTGGAGATTTCTGACGGAGAATTTGTGTTGGACCTGTAGTTGCTGGTAAGATCCCAAGGTTTTAATTGAGGCTTACTCCGGAGGTTCTGGCGAGAACTCGAGAGCTGGCTGGACCTCAGTGGAGACGTATCTTCTTCAGGACTGGAGCTCGGGAGCGGGATCGTTCCAGGCTGTGATTTGGGCCCCAGATGAGGGTACAGGCTGGTGTTTGGGTAGGTGATGTGAGGGTTCAGACTTACCCGGATCCCACAACAACTCTGGGAGACGACACATAGGAAGATAACCAGAGGACAAAGACAGGAAACTGCAGCCACATCGGGTGGAACTCTCATTGTAAAGAAAGATTGGTCCAGAATTGTTTTCCTCTCTCAGTTCCACGCTCTCGTACCGCTGTGGGCATTCAGTCCAACAAATACACTCGGACCCACGGGATCACAGTTCTCCTTACAGTGCAGGTTAGCCAGGAGGGTCCACATGATACAGTCCAAAGAATCATGGCAAATAGTTTCCCTTTAGAAATATGAACAAAAAGACCTCCATAGTCTGGTTCACTGCATTGAACTTCTTTCTGTTAAATCCCAACATTATCCACACAACTAGGAAGGATTTGGATTAATCTGGGACTCAAAGCAGACAACAAGTCCTTCTACTTGGAGAACAGTGCATGGTGATCCTGTGCTTCATCAGTGCATAAAGGATCCACTATGGACATAAACCAAAGTCTTTCCTCTTCATGATGAAAGCAGATGGTCACCAGGTCATGGTTCAGATGGTCAGAGGATAATCAGCGGTCTTCTTTCCCTGAAACAGAATTAAGAAAATCTTTCAAACATCTTTAATTTATGGAACCAACAAAATCTAATTAAAACAAAGAGACAAAGACAACATAGGAAATGACATGTGTGTGCTGCATGTAGCGCCAATTCTGTGTTAGACACACTTTTAATATTTTTCAATCCAAAGAGCGGGCTGCGTCCTTCTTCCAGACCTTATCTGTTTGTTAGGAGGCTAAAGGCCCACCTAAGCCCCACCCCTTCTGTCTGTTTCTAGGTTAAACGAAAGTTAGGTTGAGATAGTATTTCCAATATAAAAGGTAAATGGAATTGAGCTTAAGCGCTTTTAAACCGAAGGTCACACCTCCACATTCACACACTGATGGTAGAGGCTGCTGGGTAAAGAGTCCATCAGTATTAACTCATACATTCATACACATTCATACACTGCCGACTAAGCAGCGGGAGCAACTTTGGGTGAGGTTTCTTCCCAAGGACACGTGGAGCTGGGGATCGAACCCTTTACTTTCCGGTTGAGAGATGAAGGACTCTACCAATCATAGTGACCATCACTGATGTGCTTCAAAAGGCAGAAACCAATGAGTGATGTCAGTGATGCTACGTTCATATTTATATACAGTCTACACTTTCATCTTGTGTTCTACAGATTGTAGGGTTAACATTTAAAGATACCAATACATTTCAACAGATGACTTTAAAATAGGAAGGAATAGGCTGTCCAATGCAGTGTTCTGGGGCTTCAATAGATTATCCTTTAAAAAATGTTTTCATGTCTGTCAGAGTTAATAACTGTAGAGACAAAGTCGCGGTCTGTGCCAAGCTTGGATTGAAGACTACTCTGTTGATTCATCTTGAGCCTGTGAGTTTTTGCTCAATAGTAATTGCCAGTTTCTGTCATCGCTGTCCAAATGACACAGATGGGCTTTCTTTTAGTCTCCATTTCTAACTTTATTTATTTATATTGCACCTTTAAAATACAGACTTCTCAGGCTTTGGTTACTTCCCCTCCAGAGTATCCTGTTGTTTGCTTTCTTCTGACTAACAGTATGTCTAAACAAACAAAAAGCATGAGGACATGAAGGTTCACTGAAGATTAGGTAAAGGCAAGAAGAGATGCCCGAAATAAATTAATAGAAGGTTATCTTAAGGATTATTAAGATTTTTCTGTCATAGGTTGCTCTCAAGCTGAGTCAACTACAGTCATAAATAACCTCAGAGACTACAAGAAGAACTTCATACAGGTCTCTTAGAGCTCTCTACCAACGCACTTCCTGTCAACAGTACCAACAAACCTTGTCTCATCTTTAAGGTAAAATCCACTTCACTATGTTTTTCTAACACTAATATGTGCCTCTAGTCCATCTACAAACTCCCAATGATGAGAAAAGTCCATCCTCTCCGTCTTCTGCCTGCACCACTTCAGAAAATGTGTGCTCAAACAGACCATTTGGAGATTTTCCCTTCATGTCATCACAAAGGGCAGTAACCCCTCCCCCAGGTGGGTGACACTCCCACAGCTAGGTGTTTGTTCTGCCCTCTGAGTCTGCCTTCTCACCGTAAACAATAGGACATCGAGCAAGAAAGCCCGAGTACACCCAAGCCCTTCCGGAGAGGGGGCGTGGTCAGAGACAGCTAATTTACATATTTAAAGGTACAGACACAGAAACAGCCTGTTCTGAGCAGGGCTGACATAACGGGGTTTATAGACATGATCAAATACAGGATCAGAGTGGATTTAGAACAAGAAACAACACACACGTGTTTTGAGGAGCTCTGAGACTTATTTACACTTTTTAAAAAGGAGGAGAATATGACACCTTTAAATTATGCTTTTATTCTTATCACATGTCATGGTTCATTAACATATTCTGTTATACAAATCTGACATTTCAACTTAAAAATGTTTTCTTTTGTTGTTGTTTCAATTCTGCTGCCTTGTTTAAAGGAGATTTATGAAACTTTAACCATTAATGATGTCAGTCTGGGACACCTATTGAGTAGCGTTTGAGATGTGTTGTTCAAAAACCTCAATTTGTTCTGCACCAGTAAAATCCCTCATTTCATCCTCTGCCTGAAACTCTTCAATCCAGCTGCTGTCTCTTAGGCCCCCCTCCCCCACACTTTCTCTGATTGATCCTATGGCTCTGTTTGCAGTCGCAGGGACATTTGAGTGAGTTTCTTTTAGAGCAGTAGGAAACCACGTCCACAACTGTGAGTCTCGTGTTTTCTTTTCATTCAATTTTTGGGCCATTTTTACCTTTTTTGGAGAAGACAGCTGAAGAGAGACAGGACATGTTGGGAGGAGAGAGAAGGGCATGACAGGCAGCAAAGGGCAGTGGCCGTATTCAAACCCACGGGCGCTGCGATGAGGACTGTTGCCTCTGTACATAGGGTGTGCCATAACGGTGCCCTGTGTATCCTGTGTTTAAAATAATTCTTTATAGCGTAGTATAGTGGACTCTAATCCTAACCCTAACCCTAACCATCTTAAATCTCTTCTTTTCTTCAGCCTGTATCTGGTAATGTATTTTTCACACACATGGTGACATTTGACCTGTTTTAAACTGTAAAAGACATCTAAAGTAAGCAAACTGTAAAAACAGGAACTGCTGTCTGTGATTTACTGTAAATTTACAGGACAGTCGTTCACAGTCTCTATAACGTCAAACTGACCTTATGGGCCTCACTTGACTCTCTGACAAACAAATGTTTCACTTGTCTTCAGTGTGATAACTCCATGTTTTCTTCCTGTATTGTTAGAATAAATTTATTAGCATACTTCAAAATGAAAAGGCAATTTGAGAACAAGACCCACTAACAAAAGCTTCATTCCCCGAGCCGTTTCTAAATGTGTTTGTGTGGCAGCTGAGCAGCCGAGCCAGAAAAGCTCGTTGTTTGGCTTGTTTTGTATTTTCTGTCTTTTTTTTTTTTCACTGCAGGCATTTTGTGCGAGACGCCTGCAGGATTCGCCTCCGCTTCAGTCTAAAGCTCTTCACCTGCCAGATGTACCTGCGTCTCTCCTACAAGCAGGCCGAGCAGAAACAACATGCAGGTGATCATCAATGATGGAGCTCTGCAGAGGAAATTATTCTCCTCTTCTATCTACTCTCTCTGTGCGCTTTGAGAACACAGGGTTAGATTAAGAATAAGAAGAAAAACATTTGAGGCTAATACAGGCCAGGTACAAAGTGAATGTGGACGTGTATTATATGAGATTAAGGGAGCTTCTCCACGTCTCCCTTCATCAGCATGCTCTCCGATCTTTCTGAGTGAACATTTTATCTCTCAAAGATATTACCACTTTCAACACTTTATATTATTCCCCCTTTGATGGCTGCTGCTCTGTCCCAGCTCATTATACATGTTCCCTTTGTGAACGCAGCGAGCGGTTTGATAAGTATGATGACATAAAAGTGTCTGACTGTTCAGGGGCCAAACTGCCTGATCTGTGCGTACAGTTCACTCTGAGGCTTTGAGGTTGAATGAAGTCTAAAAGACAATAAGTCATGTGTGTTTAATGTCCAGGGATGATTCATTTAAAAGGAGCAAGGAAAATATTTTAAAAAGTTTCATCTCGTAACTCTGGACTTTGAGTAGCCTACAGGGTGAGACCCTTTACTTCGAGTCTATTGGTTGTCAGTCCAGGGCCCTAAACTCACAGAAAGCCGTGTCACCTTTGCTGACCTTTGTGACGCACACAGGTAAGCATTCACTAATCTGCTAAATCTGCTTAGATCAGAAGTTTAGGTGAAGCAATAATTAACTGTTATGAAATGAATGCAGTTTGTTATGCTTGGACAACCAGGATACCTGGTTAGGTTCAGGAAAAAGTTCCTGGCTTGTGTTTAAACTGACGGAAATTTTGATAAATTATGATGTCTAGGTAAGCAGTGAACCAGCACTGATCATTTGTTTAAGTCAGCTGTGTTGACATGTGAGCTCCTGAAGATTTCTATAACCTTTCAGGAGGACTACCCCTGAAATCCTCCTGATCAGGTTGTTCACACATGCACCTCAAGGCAGGAGACTATCCCTGATGGATGGGGAGTGGGTGCTCATGATGAATTTACTGAGTTCTTCCTGCTGTGTTCACCCATGAGCTCACCTCCACTACAAGTGGGTCGTTTGGGGCTGGCAGGATAAAATCAGTTTATATTTCGGATGAGCTTTTTGACTCGGCTGGATTTTCTGCCATTCAAAGACAGAAACTTCTCCTTTCACTTCCACTAAACCCTCACCTGTATCAAATTAAACTACAGCCTTCTGAAGTGAAAATATATGAATACAGCGACCTACAGCTCTGCCACATTAGGTAACAAGGGCATAAAGACCGAACTGTGGTAAGCTAGCTGTGCATTATGGAGAGAGAGATCAGACAACTGGATAGTCAATGTGTAGGAATAGAGATTCTGGCTTTTCATTTGTAAACCAAACCTGGATTTCTTGAAAGTACAACTGAAATGGGGAAAAAACAATAAAACTGCAGATGAATGGTGAACTTTTGGAGTTTCCCTTTTCTCTAGCTAGTTGACTTTATTTGAAGAGACTATATCCATCGATCAAAAACATGACATAGCC